ATACAGAAAAGAGACGAGACGAGTGTGGAAGACAAGTGTAAAGCAAGGAATTTCAGAGTACGAATACAACACGGATACAGGATTAAGTGAGACAAGAGCGGGGGACACAGAAACAAAACAATGTAGCACCTCTCATCCGATGGATATCTAGTTTTGCTCTTCATGGTGAATCAGCTAGAGCTAATAACTTTTGTCATAATCACAGAGGCGACATGAATCAGGAAAAGAAGAAAACCGCCAAGAGAAGCTCCCAGGTAGACAGACACCATGGCAACTCCAAGGGAACTCCCTGTCCCTCAGACAGACTCATCCCCAAGCCTTCTCACCATTAGTCCTCACCCAGCAGTAACTTCCCACCCCACTCTACCAGCAAATCGCAGGGAGACTAGACAGACACAATGGCGCCTCTCCCATCCTTCTCTCCCTGTCACTCCTTATCCAGCCCCTCCCCCACCTCACCAATTTTCTTACCTACCACTATCAACACAGCCCACCTACAGCTTAACGAGGCTAGCATTAGAAATAAGGTTGAAAGAGCTGACGGCCTCTCATGTTATTGATCTATCACACCGCATTAGCAGCCTGGATGACCAGAAAATGCTTTGGATGGTTGCAAATATTTAATCTTGGAGGCCTTTAAAGATGAGGTGGAAATAAGTTCACTAGTCCTCTCGCTGCAACTGTAACACTTGAACTCATAGCCGGTACCTGTGCCATGCCATCGTTACCTGGAACCATAGGACATAAAAGAGAGCTCAACCCCACACCTGGAAAGTGTACAAATGGATCTTACCAGCAGCGGCGAGGTGTAGAGACGGAACTTACCTTCAGCACTGAGCATTGGTCTGCTGGGAAGCGTGTACGGATGCCAGGAGCAGCCTGCGACGTCATTAAGTCTTCCCAAACGATGAATTGCAAAATGTGAAAGGACGTGCCTTGAGCCACCTTCACGTTGACCGGCGTTGACTGCCGTAGATCAATCGCATGAAGGATACACCACGTCAGCCTTGGATCCGCCACATGGCCGCCAGCGAGTCATGCCATCTGAAGAAAAATCAGAGAATAATGAGGGGGAAAGGAGACGCAACAGAATCATTGGAGGAACCATGGAAACCACGAAAATGCATAACCACGACAACAGCACGAATGAAGGACTGGTGGCAAAACAAGACGGTACAAAAACGCGTATGCTGAGACCTCATTCGTCAGCTGATATCATCAGGAGGGTGGTTAGCCCTGTATGTCCCGAAAGATGGTTAATTGAAACTGTAATCTAATCATCGGTCTCAACTCAAGACACTGATTTCACAAATTTAGTGATGATACTCATCTTATCACAGTATTGTGTGGCTGATCCCCCGTCCGGCAAGCCACAAGCCACCCGGAGGCAGCAAGGAGAGGGCACAGAGGGACAAAACCACTGAAGCAAGCACATGCATGCACGAATGCAAGCACATGCGAGGCTTCGGCCTAGTCTCCCTGGGGATGACGGGAGGGTGGGGATCCTCGCTGGCTAATCTGCTGCTGCGGCGACTTCCGTATGGTGGTATCCACCGGCGGGAAGGCGAGCAGCAGCAGAACGGGCAGTGCGCACATGCGATCCCAGAGAAACGGCAGCGCGAAAACCCCCAACTCAAACCCTCTGCTTTTCCCAGGATATTTATTCTAGAACTGAACAGGCAGGATAAGGAAGAACGAGCGGTTACGAGACGAATGAGAGAGAAGAATGAGAGAGACGGAGAACGGAACCATGGAACATAAAGCGCCTCTCATCCGATGGATATCTAGTTTTGCTCATCACGGCGAATCAGCTAGAGCTAATAACATGTTGCATAATCACCGAGGCGAACACAATCCCAAGAGGAAGGGAAACATAAGCTCGCAGAGGCGAGAAAGATCCCAAGGGGAAAGCAACGCGAACGAAAGCTCGCAGGTAGGCACCCTTGGAAACGACGAAAAGAGAGTGCAGAAGATCGACAATGCGACGGGGGTGGGTTTGGAGGGGAGGGAAGTGGGGAAAGGGTGGAGGGAGGCGGAACGGGGATGGGAGAGTTGGAAGGAACATGCCGCGGAATGAGGAAATAGAAGAATACAGACGCAGCTTAAAAATTGTAGAAAGCGACAGAACCGGAAAGCAAGTCGGAAAAAATCATGACCAAATGACACCCCACAAAGAGGACTAGAAGCTACGTATTCTCTCCAGTTGCAGATCTGATCAGCAGCACATCGTTTTGGACAAGATCAGCCGTAAGCAGATTGAAACTCCAATCGGGGAGGTGAAAATCCAAACGCCTTCACGGATAAAGCGACCAGAACAACAGCGAACGAAAAAAAAAACAATGGTTAGATTTGAGATTTCGAGAAATATGAAACGATAATGTAAATAATCGACAGTGTTGCTGAAAGCATCACGAGTAGTAACATCATATTCTTGACGTCACGACTTACCATCCAATACCGCGGCCGCATAGCGCGAGCCATTGCGACAACACAGCCACGCATCAACGCCAACTCAGTCACCATTAACTGTGAAGCGGTTGAGACAGTCGAGTATAAAAGAAGAAATGGCACGGTACTCCATGCAGGGTGTTCGGCTTCACATGTTCAGCAGCATCACAAGTCTACGTCCGTCAATCAGGGGTTTAGGTCATGGGGATTAGGTGACGCCATCTTGAAGGACTGGAGGTTGGAGGGAGAGAAGAGAGAGACGATGGATGTTGCTGATGGGCTCGGAGGAGAAAAGAGAGATGGGTGAAAGGTCACGTGCTTGTAACGGTTCCTCGAAGAATCAAAGATCGACAGGATGATGGCATTAGCAAGCAAATTTTCTGTAAATACATTCTCTATGCAATGTTGGCTACATCTAGTGTATATATCGTGACCATACTACGAGTATTTTTTATCAGTCAACAATCATCTAAATAATCGCAGAGTTAATTATTATGATTCTTTAAAATCATTTTCATACATGGCATATTCTCAACGACAGAGTTATTCATTAATATTCATAGTCCATTTCTATGTGTGCTTGCTATCTTGTGGCTCCTGTTCGACGAATAAGGAATGCTAGCCAGCTACGGTATGCCTGGCTGATGAGTTAGCTTGTGACGCAGCATACCGTTCACCCAGATTTTCGGGAACATTGCATTTGGACAGGTCAGCGTCGCTATCGCGGTGCGGCACAAAAGACAACCTTTACCTTCACACTGTCGAGGCTCAACGAACTCTGACCACGCACTCTCGCCTGACTAGGTTTGGGGGAATGAATCTGTCCATCCTCATGGTCACGGATTCTTTGCATGCAGACAGCCTCGTCAACCAACTCGCTGCGAAGGTCGTGAGAGGAGGGGACCAGAAAAACTCTCTGCTGCCCCAGCCCACTGTCTAGCCAATCATTTTTTCCAACCTTCTGGAAGGCGGCTTGGCTCGCACTTTCACTAACCGGTCTGGAGACTTGGACATGTGGCACTTACCATTCGTCATCACACTTGAGAAACAAGCGACAACGCTTTTTCCGCCGCAAGTCTTCGCCGTTCGTCCGTCGCGGTGTGCCGAGCAGAAGCCTCGCGTGCGTCGATCTCACCCAGGGCTGTGTCGCCCGAGAAAAAGCCGCTAGTCTGTACAGATTTTCGCAGGGTCTGACTGCTGCGGGAAGAAGGCTGACTGGTGACCGATAGGCCTTTTTCCAACCCACAGAGGGAAAAACAGAAAGCTATTCGGCTACACATTTAGGTCTGTACCGCTTTCCAACCTTGCGCATCACTCTGAACCATCTCAATACCTGTTAACAAATATACTAGACCCGCCCTCATTGCCCGTCGCGTTTCTCCTGGAGGCTCCAGCTTTTTTAATTGCTGCCGGGAGGGCAGGGATTACGGACACCTGTACAGTTCCTTTATTTTATCGTCGCATCTCTCGAGGTTCCACCACTTGGGTGGTACCAAATCAGAACAGAACTTGGCGGCGATGCGCTGCTGCCTGCTTCTGTCCCTCCCGTTTCCTACGGAATGTTGTCGCGCGCGGGGGTCATTTTGCGCAGTTTCCCGTGAATCGCCTGATAATCTCGACCCTCGCGCGGAGCCTTCCGCCTTTAAGCTCCCCCGGTCCGCTGCTTCTCCAGTGTAGCGTTCATGTACAGCGCAACGGCTAATCGCTCTCCCATGAGCCACACTCAGTGCGAAAGATTCTCCGTCGGATTTCCTCGACGATCGATCGTCGTTGATCGGCTGAGATGGGATGAGGAAGGACGGCGTAAGTCGCCAAGTTGCTGCGGGATTTCCGGTTTCGTTCTAATGGCTCGTTGAAGCAAGGTCGTCGATAAGTCGTGCACGCCTAGCATAGCGATCCACACGGGCAGACAGAAAAAAATAATCTCTTACTGTTGCAACTACTAGTTGCAACTAGTAGTAGTTGAAAGCAACGTACAGTTCCTCTCCTCTTCCCGCGTCCTGCTGTTCGCTTAGCAGAACTGTTTTAGGCAGTCGGTCCATTTACAATTCAATTGTCGGTTTGATTGGTTCGTAGTAAGGTGCGAGGCATCGCGCTAGCTGTAGGAAGCAGAGAGAAGCCGAGAAGCATCACAGTACGTGTGTACTGCGCAGTGCGCGGGAGATCCGCCAGGTGTTCTCTCGCACCGCCGACCACGGAAGTAGGACGAAGCGACACTATACATTAGCTAGCCTTCAGCTCGTGCGACAAGCGACTCTCTTATTGGGTTGGTCAGATCGCACAGGTCGACATCGCTTCTAAAAGTTTATAACGGCTTAGCAGCGCCAAGTGCGGGAGAGAAGTAAAGTACGCATAGTAGCTACTGCGAATTCAACTAATGCGGAGTCAGCAGTTTAACGGAACGACTGTACGTTGTAGCAAGAGCCGTGTAGGAGTGTATACTCTTCCTGTGCTTGAAGTTTCCTGGTTTTGACAATATAGGCCGGCCATTCACAACCACGCACTTAGCTAAGAGTGGGTCGTTAAAAGCCTCCAGGCCTCAGCGGCATCGGATGACACGGCCGCGGGGAGATGATGACGAGGGTGAGGACATGGGCGAAACCGCAGTTCACCCCGCAGTAGAGGGGGTAGTAAGGGGCGGAAAAACGGGCGGAGCAGGCGCAAACGGGGGGGACGGCGCAGGGACCGCGGGGAGGCTTCTGGCGATGGCGGACGAGAGGGGGAACTCAGCGGGGGAGGCGGAAGAGGAGGCGGAAGATGAGGGACTAAGTGATGATGAGATGGATATAGACGAGTTGGAGAAGCGCGTTCAGAGGGACCAGTTTAAGTTGCAACGGTTGAAGGAAATGCGGAAGGCTAAGGAGGAGGCTCAACGGGCACGGCAGAAGAAGCTGCAGGTAGTGATTATGCACCGCCACTTAGGTAAGTGCTTTGTGTGGTAGCAGGTATGTTTAAAATCAGGCTAGCCTATCCTCCTTGCTTGTAGTAAGCGTTCAAAACCACCATCTTCGTCAGATACCCCACAGCTTCATCTCCCCACGTCGCCTTGCTTGTGTCTACCAAAAAAAATGGCCAAGCGACCATCTTTGATCAGACACCCCACAGTGCCTAATTTTTTCCCCCTTGATCTACCCTCTCCTGATCTACTCTCTCTTCCCTCTCCTCCGTTCCCTCCCTCTTCCTATCAGCTCTTACTGGTAAGAACCATGGCTCTTTTGGTGGTTGGTGTAGAGTGGGTAGTTACAGACCCAACTTAATTACAGATTACAGGATGCGAGACACGACTCGGGCAGAACAATACGGATTAAAACCACTTGCGAAGGGTGATGCTTATACCAGTTGGTCATCTGAGCCGATCCGTTACGGGGAAAGTAGACCAAAGGCACAACTTTTGAGTTGTGCGGCGAACTTAGGGTGCGTTTCGGTGATCGTGTGTCAGGTGATCATGTCACAGGCCCTTGACACGAGGAGAACTAGACAGGCATCTTGTCCTTCAGACGTCGTTCTTCTCCTCGGGACCCCGTTCTCTGAATTTTCCTGCCAGTTTACCCCGTTAAGAGGTCACGCGGCACATGCAATCATCCCGGCTTACACTGCTGTCAGTATCGGCTTTAGTTCCCGGGTAATCGAGTCAGGAGGATCTCCTTAGCTTAGGGGTCCCAGAAAGATTCAGTGTTATCCAGGCTTATCTATAGTCTGGATCTGCTTCCGTGCCTGAGCAGTCAAGGCAGCGGAGGGGAGTATCGATCGAACAGCGGTGGTGCTGGGGTGGAGCAAGCTGGTGGGTGGAGCAAGCTGTAGGCGCCAAGGGGAGGAGCGACGACTTGTGAGTCGACTCACAAGTCACCCGGATTGATCTGCCAGTCAGTTCCTGGGCAGTCAAGGCAGCGGAGGGGGCGATCGAATGAAGAGGAGTGGTGCTGAGGTGGAGCAAGCTGTAGGGGCAAAAGGAGGAGGGTTGACTTCTGAGTGGACTCACAAGTCACCCGGATCGATTAGGCATTACTGGTGTTGGGTTAGGGATGATGGGGTGGAGTAAGCTATAGGGAGAGAGGAGGAGGGGGAACTTTGAGTCGACTAGCAAGGCACCTGGGGTAGTGGTGCTGGGATCGGGCAAGTTATATCGGGAAGAGGACGAGAGGGGCCTTCTTTTGAGGGGATTGACAATTAGTTTGGGATGGATCGGGTGTTACTGGTGCCAGGGTCGAGTAAGCTACAGGGAGAAGAGGAGGAAAGGGTACGTTTTCTGAGTGGGCTCACAAGCCACTCAGGATCGATCAGGCAGTAGTGGTGCTGGGGTCGTTTTGAGACGTCTCAAAACAACACTTTCATCAAGTAGTGGTGCTGGGGTCGAGAAGCTATAGGGACGATAGAAGGAGAAGGGACTTCTGAGACGACTTACACGTCACTCCCGTGCAGGGAGTTTAGAGTGAAAGGGTGCGTGTTCCCGCCCCCCCGTTCCCGCCACCACCTCCCCTCCAGGAAGCAGCGATGCGCTAGCCCCGCGGGTGCCGAGCCGAACGGCTTTTCGGAACTCTCAGAATTGGTTCCCTGCAGGTGCAGGACGGCATTCTAAAGCTCATGCGTGTTCCCTCCTCCGCGGCCCCCGCCACCACTGCCCCCTGCCACCCCCACGCCACCAGGAAGCAGCGACGCGCTAGCCCCGCGGGTGCCGAGTCGAACGGCTTTTCGGAACTCTCAGAATTGGTTCCCTGCAGGTGCAGGACGGCATTCTAAAGCTCATGCATGTTCCCTCCTCCGCGGCCCCCACGCCACCACTGCTCCCTGCCACCCCCACGCCACCAGGAAGCAGCGATGCGCAAGCGCATGGCACGAGCCCAAGACGGCATTCTGAAGCACATGCTGCGCATGATGGAGCTCTGCCACGCGCGCAGAGGCACAGAGGCGCAGAGGCGCAGAGGCACAGAGGCACAGAGGCACAGAGGCACGTGCATAGACCTCCCTCCCTCTCCTCTTCCTTCTGCCCTGCCCACTCCAGGAACCAGCGATGCGCAAGCTCTTTGCGCGCGCACAGGATGGAATCCTGAAGCACATGCTGCGAATGATGGAGCTCTGCCACGCGCGCGGGTTCGTCTACGGCGTCATTCCCGAGGCTACCTGTGTGCCTGTTGGAGCTTTGCCCCCACCATCACGAATGATGGAGCGCTGCCACGCACGCGGGGGTTCGTGTATCCCCTCACGCCTCTCTCCCTGCCCCTATCCCTGCAGGAACCAGCAATGCGAAAGCGCATGGCGCGAGCACAAGACGGAATCCTGAAGCACATGCTGCGAATGATGGAGCTCTGCCACGCGCGCGGGTTCGTCTACGGCGTCATTCCCGAGGCTGGCAAGCCGGTTGGGGGCAGCTCCGACAACCTCCGAGCCTGGTGGAAGGACAAGGTTCGGTTTGACAAGAACGGCCCGGCAGCTCTGGCCAAGTTTGAGGCGGAACGGGCGGCGGCCATGGGGGGAGGCGCAGGGGGAGGGGAGGGCGGGGGAGGCGCAGGGGGACTGGCGCCCACTTGCATGCCTCTACATTCACTTCTGGAGTTGCAGGATACTACGCTTGGTTCCCTGCTGTCTGCTCTCATGCAGGTGAGCGGGTGAGAGGTTGAAAGGGTGAAAGGGTGGGAAGGGGTGAGGGACAGGAGAAGGTTCGGTTTGACAAGAACGGCCCGGCAGCTCTGGCCAAGTTTGAGGCGGAACGGGCGGCGGCCATGGGGGGAGGCGGAGGGGGAGGGGAGGGCGGGGGAGGCGCAGGGGGCCTGGCGCCCACTTGCATGCCTCTCCACTCGCTGCTGGAGCTGCAGGATACCACGCTGGGGTCGCTGCTGTCTGCTTTGATGCAGGTGAGGGGGTGAAATCCTGAAAGTGTGGGAAGGGTGAGGGGAGGAGGAGGGAGGCCAGGTAATGAGAACCTCTGCAGGCGCCCACGTGCATGCCTCTTTTTTGTTTGAGGTTGATTTTGAGAATTCTCAAAATCAACCTCAGGTGCCCACGTGCATGCCTCTGCACTCGCTGCTTGAGTTGCAGGATACGACTCTTGGGTCGCTGCTGTCTGCTTTAATGTAGGTGAGGTTGAGAAAGGCTGGGAACGGTGAGGTTGAGAAAGGCTGGGAACGGTGAGGAGAGGAGGAGGGAGGTCAGGGAGTCATGCCTCTGCACTCGCTGCTGGAGTTGCAGGATACGACGCTGGGGTCGCTGCTGTTGGCTCTCATGCAGGTAGAGGCGGGAGGAGGAGGGTTGGGGGTAGGGTTGGATCTGCTGTAAATACCGTCTGAGCGGCTGGGGGCGTGACTGCCCTCATACCGATGTGCTCAACTTTTTGTCCGATTTTCCCCTTTCCCCACGCCCTCTCCCCGCACCCACTCCCCTCCGCCCTCTCTCCCCTCCTCGTTTCACCCCATCCCAGCACTGCTCACCCCCCCAGCGCAAGTTCCCCCTGGACAAGGGCGTCGCCCCCCCTTGGTGGCCGCCAGGCAACGAGCCCTGGTGGGGCGCTCCATCTCGTGCCCTGTTCAATTCTTCCCCTCCTTAACCCCCTTTTTCCTCCTTTTTTCCCCCCATAACCTCCTGTCCGCCCATACCAGCACTGCTCCCCCCCTCAGCGCAAGTTCCCCCTGGACAAGGGCGTAGCCCCCCCTTGGTGGCCGTCAGGCAACGAGCCCTGGTGGGGCGCTCTCTCCCTCTTCCACTCCTTTCGCCTTTAAATCTCCCCCTGTCCTGCCTTATCTGCTTCTTCCCAATCCCAGCACTGCTCTCCCCCTCAGCGCAAGTTCCCCCTGGACAAGGGCGTAGCCCCCCCTTGGTGGCCGCCAGGCAACGAGCCCTGGTGGGGCGCTCTCTCCCTCTTCCACTCCTTTCGCCTTTAAATCTCCCCCTGTCCTGCCTTATCTGCTTCTTCCCAATCCCAGCACTGCTCTCCCCCTCAGCGCAAGTTCCCCCTGGACAAGGGCGTAGCCCCCCCTTGGTGGCCGTCAGGCAACGAGCCCTGGTGGGGCGCTCTCTCCCTCTTCCACTCCTTTCGCCTTTAAATCTCCCCCTGTCCTGCCTTATCTGCTTCTTCCCAATCCCAGCACTGCTCTCCCCCTCAGCGCAAGTTCCCCCTGGACAAGGGCGTAGCCCCCCCTTGGTGGCCGCCAGGCAACGAGCCCTGGTGGGCCGCTCTCTCCCTCTTCCACTCCTTTCGCCTTTAAATCTCCCCCTGTCCTGCCTTATCTGCTTCTTCCCAATCCCAGCCCTGCTCTCCCCCTCAGCGCAAGTTCCCCCTGGACAAGGGCGTAGCCCCCCCTTGGTGGCCGCCAGGCAACGAGCCCTGGTGGGGCGCTCTCTCCCTCTTCCACTCCTTTCGCCTTTAAATCTCCCCCTGTCCTGCCTTATCTGCTTCTTCCCAATCCCAGCACTGCTCTCCCCCTCAGCGCAAGTTCCCCCTGGACAAGGGCGTAGCCCCCCCTTGGTGGCCGTCAGGCAACGAGCCCTGGTGGGGCGCTCTCTCCCTCTTCCACTCCTTTCGCCTTTAAATCTCCCCCTGTCCTGCCTTATCTGCTTCTTCCCAATCCCAGCACTGCTCACCCCCTCAGCGCAAGTTCCCCCTGGACAAGGGCGTAGCCCCCCCTTGGTGGCCGTCAGGCAACGAGCCCTGGTGGGGCGCTCTCTCCCAGGGGCTGCTGAGCCCTCCACCTCTTCTCCTGCCTTGTCCTCTTCCTCACCTTCTCCACCCTTTTCCTCCTTCCCTTCCCCCTCTGTCGCCCCCAAACTTTCCCCTTCCCCCCCTTCCTCCATCCCAGCACTGCTCCCCCCCTCAGCGCAAATTCCCTCTAGACAAGGGCGTAGCCCCCCCCTGGTGGCCGTCAGGCAACGAGCCCTGGTGGGCCGCTCTCTCCCAGGGGCTCGGGCTGAATCAAATCACAAGCCCGGGCGGCGCGGGAGAGTCGGGACTGCCGCCCTACCGCAAGCCGCATGATCTGAAGAAGGTGGCCAAGGCGGCCGTGCTGGCGACGGTTATTAAACACATGCTGCCGGATGTGGCTAAGATAAGGCGACTCATTCGCCAGAACAAGGGACTCCAGGTATGCACCTGCCTGCCTACGGGTATTCTCTCTGTTCTGTGCTCTCTCATAGACTCTAAGCCGCCTGAAGAAGGTGGCCAAGGCGGCCGTGCTGGCGACGGTGATCAAACACATGCTGCCGGATGTGGCTAAGATAAGGCGACTCATTCGCCAGAACAAGGGACTCCAGGTATGCACCTGCCTGCCTACGGGTATTCTCTCTGTTCTCTGCTCTCTCATAGACTCCAAGCCGCCTGATCTGAAGAAGGTGGCCAAGGCGGCCGTGCTGGCGATAGTGATCAAACACATGCTGCCGGATGTGGCTAAGATAAGGCGACTCATTCGCCAGAACAAGGGACTCCAGGTATGCACCTGCCTGCCTACGGGTATTCTCTCTGTTCTCTGCTCTCTCATAGACTCCAAGCCGCCTGATCTGAAGAAGGTGGCCAAGGCGGCCGTGCTGGCTGCCTGATGTGCCCAAGATTAGAAGGCTGATTCGGCAGAGCAAGGGGTTACAGGTATGCTGTGCTCGTGTTCATTCCGTCCCTCTCTTTTCGAGACGTCCCAAAAACACCCTCACCTCACGTTGCTGTGCTCGTGTTCATTCCGTCCCTCTCTTTTCGAGACGTCCCAAAAACACCCTCACCTCACGTTGCTGTGCTCGTGTTCATTCCGTCCCTCTCTTTTCGAGACGTCCCAAAAACACCCTCACCTCACGTTGCTGTGCTCGTGTTCATTCCGTCCCTCTCTTTTCGAGACGTCCCAAAAACACCCTCACCTCACGTTGCTGTGCTCGTGTTCATTCCGTCCCTCTCTTTTCTCTCTCCGTGGGTTAGTGATCGGGTGATAAGCACATGCTGCTCGATGTGCCCCAAGATCAGAACACTTTTGAGGCGCCTCAAAAGTCCTCTCTTTTCTCTCTCTCTGGGTTAGTGATCGGGTGATAAGCACATGCTGCCCGATGTGCCCCAAGATCAGAGCAAGGGGCTGCAGGTGTGTGGCTACCTGCTTTTCCTGTGATAGTGATCAGGTCTTCACCGTGCTGGCGAGGCGACAGTCTTCACCGTGCTCTCACGGGGCGACATTCTTCAATGCCGCCTCCCCCCCTTCCTCATTCCATTTCCTTCCTCGTGTGTGTACCCTCTATTGCACTCCCCGCTACCAGAACAAGATGTCAGCACAGGAGACGAGCATTTGGCTCGCAATACTGAACAACGAAGAGCGAGCGGTCAAACTCCAAAACGGTGACCTATCTACCGTTGCTGCTGGTACTGCTGGTGCTGCTGGTGCCGGTGTTGGTAATGGGACCGGGCAGGAAAGAATTTCCGGTGAGCTGCCCACGGGCAGGTCAGCGAACAGCTTGCAGCTTCTCGAGGGCAGTGGAGCTGCAACCAGCTCGGGCGGGCAGCAAAACGGGCAGAGAAAAACAGGAACCAGCGCTGCAGCAGCAGCAGGAGGAGGAGCAGCAGGAGGAGGAGAGGAGGAGGATGGGGATGAGTGGGATATAGAGGAGGACTATGATCCGTACAGCAGCGACGGGCAGCGGCAGAAGAAGAGGAGGCAGAGAAGAATGGCAGGAGTAGGGGCAGGCGGAGGGGGAGGAGCGGGAGTGGGGGGAGTGGGGGGAGTGGGGGGAGTGGGGGGAGTGGCGGGGGTAGGGGCAGGGGGGATGGCGGGAGTCGGGGGCGTATGGGCAGGGGGAATGGCAGGGGCGGGGGTGTCTGCTGCTGGTGGGGACGTTGGGGGGATTGTTGAAGGGGGAGGAGGGGGAGGAGGGGGAGGGGGGATGATGATGTTGTTGGGTGGGGGAGAGGATGGGAGCAGGCAGCAAGGAGGGGCGATGGTGGTTGTCCAGACTGCTGAGCTGGTCAGGGAGGTTCGGGACGGTGCTTGGCAGTTGAGTACGGTGCAGGACAGTTCTGTGCGGTTGAGTGCGGTGGCAGATGGTGCTGGACAGGTGCTGGTTCCTTGTGGTTGCTGCAACGGCCAGTTGCATGGGTCGCGCTTGGAGCCAGCATCATCATATGCAGCAGCAGTGGCAGCAGCTGGAGGAGGAGGGGCAGCAGCAGGAGCAACAGGAGGAGCAGAAGCAGCCGGAGGAGCAGCGGGAGCAGCAGCAGCAGCAGCAACAGCAACAGCAGCAGCAGCAGAAGCATCAGCAGCAAGGAGCACAGCAGCAGCAACAGCAGAAGCTCCAGCAGCAGCGCCTTCAGGCATGCATGGCACACAGGCAACTGCACACATGCAGATGCACATGCATCCTTATTATGCTGCCCACCCCCATGCTCATCCGCTCGCGCATCCCCATGCCTATGCACATTCCCTTGCACAAACGCATGCCAATAATGCACAAGCATATGCCGATCCCCATGCACATGCTCTTGGAACGTACGTCCTAGACGTTGGCCCAGCACAGGATGACGACCGAACGTTTTTCTGCCCGTTTCCCACCTGCCCAAGGAGCCGGGCAGGATGTGGTTTTCCTGATCGGGGTGCCCGGAATGGGCATCAAGCTATGTGCCCTTTTCGGGACACTGCTGCTCACGTGACCTCTTCTCCCCCCATTGCTCCTGCTCCTGCTCCTGCTGCTCCTACTCCTCCTCCTCCTGCTGCTGCTACTGCTGCTCCTGCTGCTGCTGCTCCTGCTGCTGCTGCAGCTGCCTCTTCTGCTTCTGGTGCTGCTGTTACTACCACTGCTGCTGCTTCTGTTGACGTCGAGGCTGCTGGTGGTGGTGCTGCTGCTGCTTCTGTTGGTGCTGCTGTTCCTGCTGGTTCTGTTGGTGCTGCTGTTCCTGCTGGTTCTGTTGGTGCTGCTGTTCCTGCTGGTTCTGTTGGTGCTCCTACCAGCAGTGCCGGTGCTACCCCTGCTGCTCCCCCTCCTCCCCTTCGTCGCCGCTCTTCTCATTCTTCCCTTCTCAAGCTCCCCTCCTCCACTCCGCCCACCCTCACTCCTCCATCTGCTCTAACTTCTGTGCAGCCTAGCACAGAGGCACAAGCACAGGCACAAGCACAAGTACAAGCACACAGAGAGGGGCAAGGACAAGTGCAGGCACAGTCACAGAATCATGCAGCAGGCACAGAAACGCAAGCTGAGTTGCGGCCCCAGGTGCAACCACAGGTGCAATCGCAGGTGCAACCTCAGGTGGTGCATTCACAGGCACCGGTGCATAGTAGCATGCATTCTTCTTTGGCATGGCAGTCACAAGCACAAGCAGCACAGTTTTCCCAAGCCTCTGCTTCAGGCATGGTAATGCCGAACCAGCAGCCGGGCCAGCAGATGTACCAGCAGCCATACCAGCTGCACCCGAACCAGCACCCAAACCAGCATCCTAGTCAGCAGAAGCATCAGCTATTCCTGCCGTTGATGCAGATGCAATCAATGGCTGATGATGGTCCTGCATATGCCCACGCTGGTGCTTTTACTGCTCCCCCTCCTCACTCCTCCACACCCCCCTCCTCACTTCCCTCCTCACATCCCTCCTCTCTCCCTCATGCCACCTCTCAACCCCTGCTGGCCCCACACACTCGCCTCCTCCCTCCTCACCTCCACACTCACTCAAATCCCTACTCCCAACACCACCTCATACCCTCCCAGTCGCTTCCGAACCTCCCTGCCGAGCCTCCACCCCAAGGCTCGCCAATGGTGCCGTACCAAGTGCCCCAGCCCATGCTTCTAGGAGCGCCGCTCCTGAGCAACAGCTTTGGACCGGGAGGTCATCCTGCAGGGCCTCATCTCCCCGTACCTGCTCATCCCGAACCTATTCGTGCCGAACCTCGCAGTACCAGACCTAATTTGCCCAATACGCCTAGGCTTGTTACCCCTGTGGTTATTAGATCTCGATCACGCGGCCAGCCCCACCCCATGCAAGCATACCCGTTACAAGCATATCCAATACAAGCACATTCGTTACAAGCACAACAGCCCATCAGAGCTTCTGCTGCTGGTTCTGGTGACGTCACCACCAGGTTAACCCCATCTGCTGCCGCTCCTGAAGCATCCACCCCCTCTATTCCCGCTGATGTCACTGCTGATGTCACTGCTGATGTCACTGCTGCTGCTGCTGCTGAGGCTTCCAGGAACGTTCCTTCTGCTCCCGGTGCTTCCTCTGCTGCTGCTTCTTCTTCTGCTGCCACTGTTGACGCATCTGGGTCTGCTGATGCCGCTACAGCTGCCGCTACAACTGTTGCTACAGCTGCCGCTACAGCTGCCGCTACAGCTGCTGCTACAGCTGCTGCAGTGCAAGCAGTGTCAGTTGTTCTGCAGGAGGGGGGAGAGGCGGACTTGGGGGAGATGCTGGGGGCGGATGGGAAGGGTGGGGGAGATGATGGGGGAAACAATGGGGAAAGGGAGGTGGCTGGTGCTGCATCCGGCGGCGTTACATCCCGGGAAGAGGGGGTTTCACAAGCTGCTGTTGCTGCTGCTGACAGTGCAGCAGCGGCTGGGTTGGGAGCAGCAGTAGCAGCAGCGGCACGGGGAGCAGGAGCATCAGGAATGGGGGAGAGACAGCAGCAGCAGCAGCAGCACCACAACCACCAACAGCAGCAGCAGCAGCAGCAGCAGCAGCAGTATGAACTGTCAGGGTCTGCAACTCAGCTCCTCGCAGCAACCCTGGGCGCTGCAACTCACACGTCACAACACTCTGCCTCCCATCCTCCTGCTCCCTCACACACTCCCCTGCAGCACCCACACTCCCCCCTTCAGCACTCCCACTCCCCCCTGCAGCATTCCCACACGTATCCTGATGCCAGGCGACCCATTATTGTCGTTCGCAGCCCATCACAGGGTGCCACGTGGCAGAGTGCGAGTGGGGGAGAAGGCAGCAGAGAGGCGGCGAGATTGCTGCAGCAGCAGCAGCAGCAGCTGAGTATGCACGGGCAGCATCAACAGCAGCAGGAGCGGCGGCAGCAGGAGCAGCAAGGAGAGCAAGAGGGAGTTACGCAAGCTCATTCCGATGGTGCTGCAGGAGCAATCGGTGCTGGTGCTGCAGCTGCTGCTGCTGCTTCTGCTGCTGCTTCTGCTCCTGCTGCCGCTAATGCAGCTGCATCTGCTGTTCAGGCTAATACAGCAACTGTTCCTACTCTCCCCAGTGGCTCTGAAGCTGCTGCTGTTGCGTCAGGAGGCCCTGCTTTTGCTCCTGATGGCACTGCTGCTCCTACTGATGGCACTGCTGCTGGTAATGATGCCACTGCTGATGATTCAGCTCCATCCGTCCCCCTCCGCCCCACACCCATGCCCCCACAACCACACTCACTTACTCACCCAGCACACATCCTCCAAATGCCGCACCCCAATCCCTACCTCCTACCCCGTGCCATCTCACCCCACACTCGCACTTCCCTTCACCCTCCCTCACACCCCCATCCAAGTCAATACAGTCACTACCCTTCTCCTTCCAACCCTCCATCCTCCCACAGTCAACCAGGATCAACCCACCCCTCCCTCACCTCCCCCCACCCATCTTCCTCCTCCCCCCGCCCCTCCTCCATTTCCCCGCGCGCCTCCCTCACCCTTCCCCCCAACTTCCCCTTTCCTAACTCTCCCTTCCGCCCTTCCCCCCAGTTTCCCTTCCAACCCTCCCCCCAATACCCCTTCCCACCTCCCTTCCACTCCTCCTCTGTTCCCCCTTCTTCCCCCAACCGTCCCCCCTCCCCATTCTTCCACTCCCTCTCCCCCAACAATCCTTCCCCTCACCACACTCCTCCCACGAATTCCCCCATTCGGCCCACTCTCTCCCCCCACAACCGCCACTCCCCCCGCCTCCACCTCTCTCCCGCCCAAGCCCTAGCCTACGCCCGAGCCTTTGCCCAAGCTCAAGCGCAGGCTCGGTCTCCAACCTCTGCCCGGGGACCTGCGCAGGCTCGGACCCAAGCTGAGGTCCTGGCTCAGTCCGAACCTGAGGCACAGGTTCGGGAGGTTCTGAACAGGGAGCAATCCCAAGGGGGGTGTAGCAGGACCCACAGCCGAGCTTCGGCTGAGGAAGGGGGGAGTGGTAGGAGGGGAAGAGGAGGAGGAGGGGAGAGAGGAGGGGAGCGAGAGGAGGGGGGAGAGGAAGAAATAGAGCCTTTACCTCCTGCGGCTTTAGAGAGGGGTATGAGTTTTAACAGCAGGAGGAGGAGGGGAGTGAGGGAGGGAGGAGGGACGAGAGAGGGAGAATCAGGAGATCAGGGAAGACAGGTGGCAGCAACTGCTGGGAGAGTGGCAGGGGGAGAAGCAGGGGCGGGAGGAGGAGGGGAAGTGGCGGGAGCGGCAGAGGGAGAGGGGCAATGGTCGTTACTGCACTTGGCTGTGGGGTTACCAGCAGGGGAGACACGTGAAACACACAATGAGCCTGCCAGTGAGGGTGGTGGTACGTCAGATGGGGGATATACCCATCCTTATGCCAGTGCGCACCCCCATACACATGCACATGCTCATGCTCATGCACATGCACATGGGGTGTGGAACCCACATGCACAGACCCAGCAACAGTATCAGCAGCAGTATGAGCAGCATCAGTACCAGCAGCAGTACCAGCAGCAGCAGCAGTATGAGCTGTTTCAGATGCAGCAACAATACCACCAGCAGCAGGCAGGGCAGACAGTTGGAACAGGGGCAGATGCAGGTGCAGAGCAGGGGGGAGCAGAAACTACTGTAACAAATCCTGGGATGGCTATGGCTATGGTGATGCAGGATGAGTCCCATGTGTCGCATGACATGCAGCATGATGTGATGGGAGCAGTGGGAGGGGGTGGGCATGACGTTGGGGGAGGAGGAGGGGTAGGGGAGGCGCAGGAGGGAGGAGAGCAGCAGGGGCAGCTGGATGGGATGATGATGGTGCAGAATCTTCCGATTCTGGACAACTTTGGATTTGATCCTTTCATGGATGAGGATCTTATTTGGTACTTTGGTGCCTAGCCTACTTGCAGTCATTATGTATGAGTTGCATTAGTGTGGTTACAAAACAGTTGTACTTACCAATGACTGTAATGGTGATTTTCAATGTATTCCCCCCCTATTGTACATACCATAAATATGGGTGACGTTTGACATATATTATATCTACCTACAAGTTCCATTAAAATTGAGTTGTTGTACAGTAATGGTTTGCAATCAAATGCTGCTGCTTTGTACACGCTATGCACAATGGAAAAAAAAAGAAGGATTGTCTACTAGGAAACATGAAATACATCGACAGCCAACAAACTCCTTAGTCAAACTAGTCTAGCATCAGATTGTTAAAACAGTCTCATCTCACCACCGTGATTGCCACATCTACAGCACTAGCCAAATGCATCCAGGTCATTTCTCAAACACCGAAACAACACAGCTCCTCATGCATCTGATCCTCAATTTCAACCACAATGCCGAGACACCCTTCACGCACCGAAGTAGCACAACTCCTCATCCATGAGGTTGTTCAGCAGTCTCATGTGATCCTGATTGCCTATCGCTCCAAAGCTGAACCCAAACAAGCTGTCATCCACATCCTCCTCCATCCCCACTGCACCCCCTCCGCTCTGCCCCACGGCTGCCCCACCAGCGTCCCCACCATTACCACTGGCAGTACCATTGCCGTTTGCAATACCATTGGCACTAGCATTAGATGAAATCATCCCCGAACCTGCTGCTCCGGCTTGGCCCGAACCTCCTCCCCGACCTGCCCCATCATCCGTAATAGTCTCATGGGGAGATCCCAAGCTCGGTTGCTGCTGCTGATGCAGCATGCCCTCTAGATGAATCATACCGTCCAGATTCGATGAATCTTCGAGGACCGAGGCGAAAAAGTCTGGGTTGCTGGCGAGAACAGCCTCCGCATCGGATAACGCCCTCCGCTTCGCCCCAACTGTCACTCCGCCGCCAGAACTGGCAGCACTGGCGCCGTTGCTAGCAGCAGCAGCAGCAGCCACGGCAGCAGAAAGCTCTTGAAACGCTGTTTGCTGCTCCTGCTCTTGTTGTTGCTGCTGCTGCTGCTGCTGCTGGTGCAGCTGGGAAGGAAGCATGCCAAGGTTGCTCCGCCCCGACCCCCCTCCAGCAGCAGTTGCGCCGCTCCTGCCACCTGATGCCATACCACCAGCCACGCCACTGGCAACACCACCAGTGATCGCGCACAGCGGAAGGTTCTGGTCGCTGTAGTTGCGGCGGAAGGGAGGGAGAGACGCAGCAGTGACTCGAGCCAAGGGGTTTAGGGAAGCAGAGCGAGCGTTGCTGCTGCCCACGTTTTGCTCCTCTGCCTGCCCTCCCTGCTCCTGAGAGTCGTCTCTTCCTTCCAAAAACCCCTGCTGCTGCTGCTGCTGCTGTTGCTGCTTTGTGTCTTTCCTCCTCTGCTGCTGCATCGCCTGTCCTTGCAGCATCACTTCCCGAAACACCTCCTCCCCAACCCCACCAGAAGCACCACCACCAGAAGCATTGCCAGCTCGAGCCATACCTGCCCTCGCAGCAGCAGCAGAGGCAGAAACAGCACCGTTAGCACCATTCGCACCACCACCAGCATTAGCAGCGGCGGCAGCGGCCGCAGCGGCCATCATCATCCCCGCATAGTGATGCGGCGGCGGAGGCATCCCATATGGCCCCATCCCATGCGGTCCCCCCATCCCCATGTGCCCCCCTCCCATGCCCATCATATGCCCGTACATCCCCCCGTACACGTCAGGATACCCTGATGCGTGAGCTGGCAGGCCGAGCGCCGCGGGGTACGGGAGCGGCGGAGCGGGAGGTGGAGGGCCCATGATTGGCGGATGCGGGGCGGGCATTCCCCCCATCATGTTACCTGCGCCCATGCCCATCATGTTTCCAGGGCCCCCCGGGTGGTAGGAATCTCCTGGGAAGCTTCCCTGCCTGAGCAGGGACGCGTGGCGCAGGTGGTGGGGTGGCAGGAAAGGCGCCCCGCCGTCGGGTGCGCCTGGATGTTGACGTGGCATGTGCGGGACGAAGCTTCCTGCGAACATGGTGGAAGCTGATGAGGGGTTACCAGCAGCAGCGGCTGATGCGGCGGCAGACGCGGCAGCGGAAGCGTTTCTAGCCTTGCCCGGTCCACCTGATGCCTTCGCGGCAGCGGCTGGCGGCGCGGAGGATATCGCTGACGTGGCAGGAGCAGGCGCGTTTCCGCCCGTTGCTTTCTTCGGAGTACCGGCTGTAGCAGCTGTAGCAGCTGTAGCAGCCGCAGCAGCAACAGTCTTTGCAGAGACGACGTCGGCAGCGGCGGCGGCAGCAGTTGCGCTCCCGCCAACGTCAGCGCGCGAATTCCCCCCAGCAGCGCCACTCTTTCTGCCGTTTGCGCCACCGCTGGCTTCCGCGGAACCGGCGGAATCCCCCTCCCCCTTGCCGCTAGGGCGGAACGCGCAGTTCGCTTGGTGAAGGTTTCGCGAGGCGCGGTCGGAAAACGCGTTGCGCCACAAGTGCCGCGGGCAGCGGTCGAACGGGCACATGAAAACTCTGTGCTCGGGCAGCATCTCAACCCCCGCAAGCACCGCCTCAATTGGCGGTGCCACGTCATCATCGCCTCCGGGATTCCCAGCAGCAGCATCACTGCTGTCCCCTAAGATTAGCAGCTTTTCGGCATTCCCCGGCGCCTGACCCGGAGCCGCGTCAGTGGCGGCAGGATTTGCGGGGATGTGATTCGTCACCGCCGGCATCCACGACAGCGGCTCGGTTTTCATGGTGGCGGCGGGCTTTCCGCCGACGCCGGCGGCGCCCACAGCGGGGGGTTTCCCGGCAGTCGCCCCTTCCGCTGCAGCGCTTCGCTGCTGCTGCTGTTGCTGCTGAAGTGCCTGCAGCGCTCCGGCGAGGTAGTCACCGCATCCCACGCCGCCGTTCGCGGAGACGAAGGGCGGAAGGTCGACGCGGAAGGGGTCGTATTCCGCCGCGCCCGGCGGAAGCGGCTTCCCCTGCGCGTGCAGCAGCGACGCCTCCTCCTGATCCAGCACAGCGAGCCACGTGGCACTTTCTCTCGCCGTCATCTTATCCTGCAAACACTTGCTCTGTCGCACGAGCTTGCGAATCCGTGCGATGTCCGGCGACAAATGCTTTATCACCGACGTCAGCACCCCGACCTTCCACGCCTTTTTCAAATCGTGCGGCTTCTTATAAGGAGGACGACCGCTGCCACGTGGCATCCCCAGCTGCGGCCACCAATCCTCGTCCCCGCTCGGCCACCACGGAGGGGGGTTTCCCTTTTCCAACGGATACCTCCGCTGCGGCGGATCGCAATGCTGCATTAACGCGGATAGCAGCGACCCGAGCGTCGTATCCTGAAGCTCTTGTAGCGTGTTTGGCGTGGTGAGCTGTAGCAGGCCTGCGGGCTGGTGGTCCTTCTTGCCGGCCGCTACAGCCTGCTCCGCGTTGTAGCGCGCGATGGCGGCGGGCCCGTTGCGGTCGAAGCGCACCTGGTCCTTCCACCACGCGCGCAGGTTGTCAGAGCTTCCGCCCACCGGCTTGCCCTTCTCCGGGATTATACCGTACACGAAACCCTGTCACAAAAAACAGTTTCGCGAAACGCAACGCAAAATGTGACGAAAAAGTGACAGGTCAGTGTGCTGCGAAGCGAAACATACTTAATAGCGAAAGGTTTGACGAGATTTAGAAACTAACGCTTTCACATCATTGAACGGAGCTGGTAATAATGGGTACCTGGGCCTTGCAGACTTCCATCATCTTCAGCATGTACTTCAGAATCCCGTCGTGCGCTCGCGACATCTTTTTGCGGCGAGCCTGATCCTGCTGCGACTGTTTCTGGCGCGGTTTAAAGTCGTCCTCCTCCTCCTCGTCCTCCTTATTCTCCTGAGCCTCTGGAGCATCCTTAATCTTCTGGCAGTCTTTGATCCGCTTCAGCTTGAGGCGGTCCTTCCACATGCGGCGTTCCAATTCGTCCACGTCAAGCTCGTCGTCGGAAAAGCCGTCCAGGTCAGCCTCGCCGACCATGAGATCCGCCATGTCACCCATGTCGATGTGGCCCGGGAAGATTATCTCGTCGTCCACCATAGTGAAATTGCGCCAACTAAAAAGCTCCTTAATAAGATAGGAATTTTGAGTTTATTATAGACCCAACAAAAAGAACGCAGTATTCCAGCACGGAAACGTTACTATAAGATGTCCTCCCTAGATTAGATACGATAGGTCGTGGCTGAGGATCCGTCAATGGCGGGACAGCCGGGAATGGTGGGCCGTAGGATGCTTCAGATATATTTGATTATTCGCAAAGCTGTTCTGATTACACTAGAGACGTCGACTATCGGACGCCAAGGTGCTGCCGTCGAACACGGAAGACTTCAGGAAACGCGAAACTACGAGAGGGAGCTACTTCTGAAGGTCAAACCGGTCGAGAAGATAGTAAAACACTCGCAGATTTGCTCAACTGATTGGCTCCAAGGACACAGGCGAGAAGGTGGACAGGGACCGTTGTCCTTACGTTCGCTCAACCACACACCTCCTCGTCCGTAACTGATGTGTGGGAGCGGAACCTGAGAATGCGAGTCGAGTTCTATCTCTGAAGAACTCAAACCAAACACAAGACGACCGACCTCGAGGAGAGCCAAGCTTCAGGAGGACAAGGAAGCCCCAGGCCAAGGAAAACCTCGGGGCAGCCAAGCCAACCCAAGGGAAGCCAAGCTCGAGGAAAGCCAAGGTCCAGGAGGAAAGCTGGCAAGACGAAAAACGAGTGGCGGAGAAACCCGCGTGACGCGAGGGTTCGGCAATATCAAGAGGCAGTTGCGGTGGATTCCTCTGGAGACAATCAAGAGGAGTGCAATGGTTGGCTGCATTGGAGGGCAGGAGTGGATGGAAGGGACGGGGAGATGCAAACGGTTCTTTCTGGGCCGTGTTTTATTTGACAGCTTGTCGAAGATCAGATTTTGATCGAAAGGCCACCGAGGATTATGGCATGGACAGTGGAAAATGACCGTGGAAACGATGGAAGGGAAATCATTACGAAATGGTGTAGGGCGGTGTTGAGGCTAGAAAGTGCTGATGTTGGCCACGAATCATCCAATTCTTTTGGTCTGCCCATTAAAGCCCGAGGTCAGCATGGTAAATTTTCAAGTTATGTGGGGTTGAAACAGTCTGGCGAAAATAATAATATCGTGTATTTCGAATATGTGTGTGGGGCGAAAGCGAATTCAGGAGGCGGGTAAAACAACCTTCGCCACGATACTATGCGACGGCTGTTTCCAAGGATATGGGAGGGCCGAACGACTCTGTGTGTGACAGAGCACTGCTCCAGCCCCACCACTGCTGCTGGCGCTTCTCTTTGGGGTTGAAATGGTGGGCAACGCGAAACTCACGCGAGTGAGAGTAAGGCAGTACACTGAACACTATTTTTACAATTTCTAATTTACTAAAATGTCTGGATGCTTTTGAGACTTCACTTCAGAAAAAACACAAAATTTCAAGTGCTGAATAGGTGCAGAAAAGCATTGCAAGCAAATTGTGAACAAAAAAAAAATGAAACATCAATAAACGCATTACCAATACATTTCGGAAACGCACTCTCTCAAGCTCAGATCCCTCAACTCATAAGGATCTCGGCCGGCCACATATCGACATGCCGTGCTGGTCCCTGCAACACTCTGCAGTCCCCCGGCCCACAGCAGCGCAGACCTGACGTGCGCTGCCACCATCATTTTCTGCCAGCATGGTCTGCCCCCTCCCGCATCAATGCTCCGCGGCATCCTGCTGGGCAGCAGGGGAGGCTGAAGGCAGTTTCGGGAGGAGGCTGCCTCACAGCTCCGCCAGCAAGCCTCAGGGCAGATTCACTCAAAGATCCGCTGGATGCGGTGCTTCGGTGGCCTGCCACGAGGAAGAGGGGGAGCAGAGGGGGAGGGAGTGGGGAGAGAGTGACGCTCATCACTTGTGCCAAGGGATCCAGTCATCGAATAACTTCTGCATGCGCGTGCGTGTTGCTATGCACCGTGTAGAGAAGGGAAGGGGATGGGGGGAAGCAGGGAAGGGGATGGGGGGAAGCAGGGAGCGGGATGGGGGGAAGCAGGGAGCGGGATGGGGGGAAGCAGGGAGCGGGATGGGGGGAAGCAGGGAAGGGGATGGGGGGGAGCAGGGAAGGGGATGGGGGGAAGCAGGGAAGGGGATGGGGAGAAGCAGGGAGCGGGATGGGGGGAAGCAGGGAAGGGGATGGGGGGAAGCAGGGAAGGGGATGGGGAGAAGCAGGGGATGGGGGGAAGCAGGGAAGGGGATGGGGAGAAGCAGGGAAGGGGATGGGGGGAAGCAGGGATGGGGATGGGGGGAAGCAGGGAAGGGGATGGGGAGAAGTAGGGAAGGGGATGGGGGGAAGCAGGGATGGGGATGGGGGGAAGCAGGGAAGGGGATGGGGGGAAGCAGGTGAGGCAAAGGAGAATATATTGGGGGGTAAACGGAGCTGGTGGGAGTGAGGGAGGTTGGTAATAAAAAAAAGGGGTGTAAACAATTAGGGGGAAGTGAGATCGACAGGGAGAGGGAGTGAGGGGAGTACCCGCTCTCACCCTCTGTCTCTCACTCTCTGGGACACCCCCCCCCTGTTCCCCCCCCTCCGTCCTTCCCCTGCTGTCTCTCCACCTCTGCCCTTCACCTTCTGTCTCTCACTCTCTGCCCCTCCCCCTCTGTTCCTCCCCCTCCGTCCTTCCCCTTCTGTCTCTCCCCGTCTGCCCTTCACCCTCTGTCTCTCCACCTGTGTCCTTCCTCCCGTGTCTCTCCCCCTCTGTCCTTAGCGAAAAAGGGAGGGAGAGAGGGAAGAGAGAGAGAAAGGCAAGAGAGAGAGAAAGGGAAGAGAGGGAGAGGGAGAGAGGGACAGAGGAATGAAGGTCGAAAGCAAGGTAGGGAGGGACGGAGGGAGAGGAAGAGAGGGGAGAAGGAGGGATGGAGGGAGGAAGCTTGGGCGAAATGAAGAGGCGGGGGCGACGAGAAGAAGCGCGCGCGGGCGACGAGGAGAAGCGCGCGCGGGCGAGGAAGAGAAGCGCGCGCGGGCGACGAGAAAAAAGCGCGCGCGGGCGACGAGGAAAAGCGCGCGCGGGCGACGAGCAGAAGCGCGCGAGGGCGACGGTTCAGGGTGCGCGCGCGGGCGACGAGGAGAAGCGCGGGACGGTGGGAAGCGCGGGACGGTGGGAAGCGCGGGACGGTGGGAATCGCGGGCGACGAAGGAAAGCGAGAGAGACGAGTGGGAGATATCGTGACCCGAGCAAGTGTGGGCGACGAGAAGAAGTGCGGGTGTCGCTTTTCCGCCAGTCTCACGAGGGTAACGCGCTCTCGTCATACTAAATCCCTTGAGTGTGGCAACTCATGCCATTTACGAGCATTGCTCGTGTCGTGCGCTAGCACGGGTAGCGTCCCTGGCATGCGAAAGAGGTACGGTCAGCGCATGGCTTGAAGTTGTGCTGGTCAGCGATTGGTCAGACAGCGTGAGTGACTCGTGTTGCAAGGAGAAAGTAGCCTTTACTTGAGCTAGCTTCTATCGCCCTGCCGCGCGTTTCCTAGTACTGTCCCTATTCTAGCAGACTAGTACTACTTGGTCTTCAAGATATGTGAGGTGTGCTCACGGCAATATTGTGGGCGATGGTCGGAGGTGTTGTGCGACTGGGCACGGAAACCAATCAGGAGTGAGGGTCGCAATAGGTTTTCCCTGAGTCGCGAGTTGTTTTTCAAACCAGAGAGGGTTACCCTGTTTTTTGCGACTTCAAGTTCAAGAATCTTGAACTTGAAAAATACCATGCTGTACCCGGGCTTTAAAATGGCGTTTTGCCGGACCAACGATTCGACCAAGGAGCAGATACACGACCGTCAAGAAATCGTAACAGTTGATTGCTCAAGCAGCGGCTGTGGGCAAGCGGTGTCGAGGGTTTGACACGTCATCAAATAAGTAAGGACCATCCACACGGCACCTTCCAGAAGCAAGCAACGTCACCGCAACCAATCAATATCTCAATTATCAACCGTTTGTGGTTGAAATCTCCTTTGCACTCATTGTGGGGAAGGTCGCTCGCATTACTTTTCCCGTGTAAAAATTCCTAGAAACGCCACGACGCCTGTCGAGATTTGAGGAGCACCCTGCAGTGACCCGTTTTCGCCCCTGCCACTGCAGCATACCGGAGGAGCATTGCAGCGTTTCATTTTTTAATCAGGTCTATGACTTTACACTGCAACGCAGATTGCTTTTTTTTTTTTCGTGACAAACCTACACTAGGCAGAAAGCGTCCAGAACAATTCCTGACGGGGCTGGAGGGTTCTGGGGTTTGGGAGGGACGTGAGGGCAAAAGGGCAACAAAACAACACATTGATTCTGAATCCCACCAGCCTGGTGCTCCTCATTGCCCTTCAAGGGTCAGCGATGCCGCTTGTCTGAGGCAAACTCTCACAAAAGGGTTCATTTATTACGCGTAACAGTTACCATACATGGCTTGGACTCGCCGGGCCGTTCACGATGCTTGCCTTCGTCTCCAAGACATGCTCCGATATACTAGGTTCACTCGGTACGAACTGGAGGAACCACAAAATTCATAACAATCACGCGTAAAGCCAGATGGTACCAAATCAAACGAATGGTTTCAGGTTGCATAATTGCGAGCACAACTGTACCACTAAACGAGGTCAATCGTTTTAGTCACCATCGAACCTGTTTGGTGTTCAAGTATATCTCGACGAGGTAAATAATGGTTCGGAGCGTTCTGAAGTCCATGAAATTATTATTCATTGGTATTACTCTCCTACGGCATCTGTGATGCTCTCAAGACCAGACCATTTCACAATCCTCTTCTATTCTCATAGCCATGGCTGTTCCCTGATGCGCTGATTAACTCTCCATGCTGGTGACCGTTACAAGTGATTATATTCGCGTTGCTGCTCTCCTCGGCAGACGAATTTGAGTTTCAAGTAATAGTTTTTGCAGAAGATATAGGCTTTAAACGCGTATATCCGACGGAATGGGCCGACGTGGCTCAAGGTCGCCAGTAAGGAAGCGCAGCCGTCGACCCCCCTCTCCGACCCGATCAAAATCGCGGTCTCGCTCCCGGTCTCCTCCTCCTCGTTCCTCATTGGCTCGCAAGGATCGAAGGGACGATCGGAGAGAGGGTCGGAAGGAGGGTCGGAGGGAGGGATCGGAAGGAAGATCGACGAGAGGACAGGAAGGACGATCGACGGAACCGTCGGAGCCGAAGCAGATCGCCTTACGGCAGGTCGGGACTCTGACATGCCTCCCCGTTGCTGAGCTTCGGCATGCTAATAATGCTTGTCGGAAAATGCTGTTATCGAGCGATTTCTCTTCGTGCGGCCTCGTTTCCTTTCACACATCCCCTCGGACTCGTTATACGCTGCTTCGTTATGCGCCATCAACTCCCTCAGGGACCTTGAATGGCTCGCCAGCTGGTTCGGGATTCAACGCAACAAGACATGTCTCCTTCTTCAGTCCTTGAGAGGCGCCCGTGTTCCCGTCTCCTCGTGTCGCTGTTTACCCTCTTCTTGAACCAAGATGAAACCAGCGTGATACTCGTTATAACGGTCCTCCCTATTCGCTAGGTTTCCGGAGGGTGACGTGTCTCACCCTATTCCCCTGCAGCTCGCCTTTTGAGTCGACTCAAAAGTCGCGACGTGGCCGCTATTCGGACGGTGCGATGCGGTGCAGTGAGGTGCAGTGTCTGATCCCTCCCCCCTGCAGCTCGCCTGTAAGAGACGTGATTACAGGCACCATGATAGTAACGCAGCGTCTTGTAACGCAGCGTGCCCGTAAGAGCCACAGACTCCGTTTTTCCTCTGGTGGCCGTTTTTCCTCTGGTGGCCGTTTTTCCTCTGGTGGCCGTTTTTCCTCTGGTGGCCGTTTTTCCTCTGCCATACACACCCCGACGGTACTTCCCCTGTCCCTCTTGTTCTCGGCCGTTTGTCCCCTCTTAATCCCCAATCCTTCCCTCTCCTCCCTTCCTCCCTTCTCCCCGCTTCCTCCGCCTCCCCATCCTCCATCGCCTTAAACTGGACCGCTTTTAGTTAAGTGCCATCCTACTATGAGCCCCCCGTTTTCACCGTATCCGCTCTAACATATTCCACCCTATCCATCCCCACCCTTCCGCTCCTCCCCTCCCTCTCGCCTGTGCGTTCGCCGCTCCACACCCATCCTTCTGCCCTCCTGGTGCTTTTGGCACCTCCGCTGGTCTCCACCCTGGGTGCGTTCGGCACACCTTGGGAACTTCCTCGTCGCTGATTGGCCAGAGGGCGCCGGAGCAGGTCCCCCTCCCCTCGCCGCCGCGACAAGGCGCGGGACAGCGGGCGAAGAGGGGGCGATGAGCGGAAGCAGGAAGGCGCGCGAAAGGGGGAGAGTGCGCGTAAGGGGGAAGGCGCGCGCGGAAGCAGCCGTCGGGACCTAAGCCGCAGCCGCTCGCGCTCCCCTGCCCCGCGGAGGCGTTCGCGCTCCCCCTCCCCACGCTCTCGCGCGCGGAGAGAAAACGCGCGGAAGGACGATGCGCGGAAGCGGAATAGCCTGCCTGGTGAAGGGGATAAGGGCGGGAAAGGCGCGGAGAAGGGCAAAGGAGGCGAGGAGGAGAAGGGCAGGGGGGAGGACGAGCGGAAGAAAGCTGACTGCGTGGGGAAGGACGTCGAAGGAGGGGTGGGGAAGGGAGGGGAGGGGGAGGTGGAGGGGGATGAGAAAGTGAAGGAGAGGGAGATGGAGGCTCGGAGGGCCAAGGAGGACGCGGAGAGGGCTGAAAGGAAAAGGTGAGTAACATTGGTCAACGCTTGTCAACGCTAGTCAACGTTATAACTGGGTGTATAAACAGTTGAGACCCCTCATTCTGGAAAAGCGACTGGGAGGTGTTTCATTCACGTATCTCCCACCCACCCATCCTTCCTGTATGTGTCCGTGCAGGTTACGAGAAGAAGCAATGGAGAAGCTTATAGCGGAGGAGACTACGAGGAGGCTTGAGGAGGCGATTCGGGAGCGTGTGGAGCGAGAACTTACCTCAGAGGAGATCAAGAGGGAAATGGCGGCTTTAATTGAAGAAGGCCGGAGGAAGCTTCCTGGGGAGGTGGCGAGAGTTTTAGAGGAGGAGAAGGAGGCTGCTGAGGAGGAGAAGAGGAGGAAAGAGGTGAGTGGGGGGAGCGTTGGGATTGGGGAAGAGGTGAGGAGGAAGAGGAACAGTAGTCTTTCTTTTGAGTTGACCAAGAGTCAGCTTTAGAGGAGGAGGAGGCCGCTGAGGAGGAGAAGAGGAGGAAAGAGGTGAGTGAGGGAAGAGGGAACGGGGGAAAAGGTGAGTGGGGAAGAGGGGAAGTGAGCTGACTTTTGAGTTCACTCAGTCAGCTTCAGAGGAGGAGAAGGAGGCTGCTGAGGAGGAAAAGAGGAGGAAAGAGGTGAGTGGGGAAGAGGGGAAGCGGGGAAGAGCAGAAGAGGGGAAGAGCATTTGTTTGAGTCTGATCTTTTAATGCTGTGAGAAGGGTGTTGAAGGGGTCGCAAGGATGGGGAAGGACTGGTACTCTCTTTCAGAAAAGGTAAGGGTGGTGGTGGGGTGCAGCAAGGATTGTTGCAAGCCTTTGCTAAAAAAATCGCTTTTGAGACTTCTCAAAAGCGATTTCAAATTAGGCCAGAAAGTATACTTGGAGGAGCCTCTGGGTTAGAAGGAAAAGGGCCAGAAGTCAGATTACAAAAATCGTTATCTTAAAGCCTAAACCCTTACTTCATCTTGGCCACTCTTTACGTTCCCACGTTCGTTCCCTTGCCCCGTCCATTTTCTCTATCCCTTGCAGGAGGAGAAGCGGAAGGAGGAAGAGCAGCAGCAGGAGCTGTTGCAGCAGAAGCAGAGAGAAGCAGAGGAGGCGGAGCGGCAAAGGTTAGAGGAGCAAGCGAGGGAGCAGGAGAGGCGGTATCGGGAACTGGAGGAGAAGCAGAGGCAGAGGGATGAAGCCAAGAGGAAGAAGAAGGAAGAGGAGGAGAAGACAAAGAAGGAACAGATGAAGATTTTGGGGAAGAAAAACGCCCGGCCGAAGCTAGCGTTTAGCCTCGGCGGTGGGAAATGACTAGGATTGGATAGTCTTCTCTGGTTTGGCCTGGCCTGGCCTGGCCTGGCCTGGGCTGGTCTGGTCTAGAACTGTGTTGGTGTTTATGGATGTACTGTTTAGAGTAGTACCAGTATGTGATGGTTAAGTGCTGGAGTGTAGAAGTGGGCTGTGTTCCATTCTGGGTGCTTCAGTCTGTATCTGTACCGTACTCTCCAGCTAAGGTCCATCCCCCCTGTTGCCAGAGCCTGCACCTCTTGGGATAGGATCGAGGCACCTAAAAAGGGCTGCAGCTGTTACGGTATCTATGTGCCAAAGCTGGCTATGTTCTTCCCTCTTCCCCCTTCCCTCTTCCCCTGCTTACCCTGTTGTCCCCTCACTCCTGTTTCTGCTCCTCCCTAAACCAGAGCCCAAGAGCCAGACCCGATTTCAGACAAGAATATGGTAGACCAGAGTTGGGTTGATAGAAACTTGGGGAGCAGGCGTCTTGAGGAGTATCTAGGAAATCCAAACGCAGGTGGTGGTGGGTACAAGTGGCCCTTTCTTTCCTCTCCCTGCATGTGTTCCTATTCCAATCGTGGCATGGCATGGCAAAAATGCCAACTAGGGTAGCAGCAACAGACAGCAGACACGTATATTAGGTAAGTGCCAGAATAAGGTAGGTAGGTGGCTTGGGTAGGTACCAGTGCTAAGTACCTTAGGTAGATGACTGGTGGTGGATCAACAGGGCACTCTTCAGATGAAGTGACAGGGGACAAGCATACATTATATTCGCGGGAAGGTGTAAACATGGTTTTGATGATGGGTATTAGCTATCAACTCTGGTAATTGGCTTGGACGATCAGGCCTTGATGATCAAGCTTTGGCAAAGAGCTTCGGAATGAGGTTCGGCAATTGGTATGGATGAGGAAGCCTAGCCTCGTAACGAGATGACGATGACGCTGGTGTTGTCCTCTGTCTCACGATCCTGAGAGGGAGGGGCGCAGCAGAGAGAAGCACACAGATGAGGACACAAAGAGACACACGGATAGAAGCATGATTGGGGCGAGATAACTCGAATCTGGTGTTGTCCTCTGTCTCGCGATCCTGTGGGGCAGGGCAGAAATACAGAGGGTGCAACAGAGAGCAGAAACACAGAAGAACCTATGAAGAGATATACGGAGTGTCGCAAGGAGATGATGATGATGATGCTACTCCGTGTAGATGGTTGCTGATCATGCTACTCTAACGAGTCAGCAAGGACTACCGTGAATTACGCTGTAGTGTGCTGTTCTACAGTGTAGTGTACTGTATTATAATACACTCACATGCAGAGCTGTATGCATGAGCGCATCGCATGCCTGCTGCACATCCCCGTGCCTCCAAGCTAGCCCTTACCTTCAGCTATTGGTGTATCTGCATGTAGTATACTGAATGTCATAAGACTCTCACGTGCAGAGCAGTGCGCACAAGGGCCTCACATTCCTGCTTACATCCTCGTGCCTCCAAGCTAGCATCTATTGGTGTATCTTCATGTAGTATACTGTATGTCTTTAGACACTCACGTGCAGAGCAGAGCAGTGTGCACAATGGCCTCGCGTTCCTGCTTACGTCCCCGTGCTGCAACGACAGTGCAGTATACTGAAACTAGCGTGCCTCCCATCCCACGTGATAAAAGCAGTGTTATGAGACGTCTCAAAACACTACTTTTATCGCAACGACAGTGCAGTATACTGTCTTGTAGCGTGCTTCCCAGCTTACAAAAGCATCTTGTACCATGCCCTCATGCACTCACATGCAGAGCCGCGTGCACGAGAGCCTCGCAAGCCTGCTGGCTGCTGTGCCTGCAGGTCTTTTAACGTCCCCATGTCTCCAAGCCAGCGGCAATGCGTAGTGTACTAAAGTGTCATATAGTGTATCTTGATGTACTATACTGTATCCTTGTTCACTCACATGCAGAGCCGCGTGCACGAGAGCCTCGCATGCCTGCTGTACGTCCCCATGCCTGCAAGGCAGTATTAGTGTATGGCAGTATAGCATAGCGTAGCAGCCTGTAGTGTAGTGTACCGTTGTGTATCATACAGCACTCACATGCAGAGCCGCGTGCGCCTCGCAAGCCTGCTGCACGTCCCCATGTTGTAGAGTCCAACACGGTGGAAATCAGTGTGCTTATAAGAGCATATTATACCACAATCTCATACACTCACATGCAGCGCAGCGTGCACGAGCGCCTCGCATGCCTGCTGCACGTCCCCATGCTTCTCCATCTCGCTCCGCACAAATGACACGGCTTCAGAACTGCAAGATTAACAGGGTGTGGTGGGAGGCAGGGAGGGAGGGAGGGAGGGAGGGAGGGAGGGAGGGAGGGAGGGAGGGAGGGAAGCAGTGTGTGTGGGAAACGGATGTTTGTTCCAAAAGTCCCCATGCTTCTCCATCTCGCTCCGCACAAATGACATGGCTTCAGAACTGCAAGATTAACAGGGTGTGGTGGGAGGCAGGGAGGGAGGGAGGGAGGGAGGGAGGGAGGGAGGGAGGGAGGGAGGGAGGGAGGGAGGGAGGGAAGCAGTGTGTGTGGGAAACGGACATTTGTTCCAAAAGTCCCCATGCTTCTCCATCTCGCTCCGCACAAACGACACTGCCTCAAAGCTGCCAACAGGATGTGTGGGGGAGGCAGGTAGGGAGGGAGGAGCGAGAGAGGGGAGTGGGAGGGAAGGAAGGGGGTGTGTGTGTAGCTGTCACTTATTCCAAAAGTCTCCATGCCTCTCCATCTCGCTCCGCACAAACGACACTGCCTCAGAGCTGCAAGAGTGGATGCGTGTGGAGCAAGGGGGGGAAGGGAGCGAAGAAGATGTGTGGGGAAGCTGCTACTGACTTTCGATCCCCATGCCTCTCCATCTCGCTCCGCACAGACGACACTGCCTCAGAACTGCAAGAGTGGATGCGTGTGGAGCAAGGGGGGGAAGGGAGCGAAGAAGATGTGTGGGGAAGCTGCTACCGACTTTCGATCCCCATGCCTCTCCATCTCGCTCCGCACAAACGACACTGCCTCAGAGCTGTAAGAGTGGATGCGTGTGGAGCAAGGGGGGGAAGGGAGCGAAGAAGATGTGTGGGGAAGCTGCTACCGACTTTCGATCCCCATGCCTCTCCATCTCGCTCCGCACAGACGACACTGCCTCAGAACTGCAAGAGTGGATGCGTGTGGAGCAAGGGGGGGAAGGGAGCGAAGAAGATGTGTGGGGAAGCTGCTACTGACTTTCGATCCCCATGCCTCTCCATCTCGCTCCGCACAGACGACACTGCCTCAGAACTGCAAGAGTGGATGCGTGTGGAGCAAGGGGGGGAAGGGAGCGAAGAAGATGTGTGGGGAAGCTGCTACCGACTTTCGATCCCCATGCCTCTCCATCTCGCTCCGCACAAATGACACTGCCTCAAGAGCTGTAACAGGGTGTGGTGGGGGAGTGGGAGGGAAGGGGGGAGGGGGGAGGTGGGGAAGCGGGTGTGGGGGTGGGAAGGGTGGAAATGGGTGTGTGGGGGGGGAAGGGTGGAAATGGGTGTGGGGGTGGGAAGGGTGGAAATGGGTGTGGGGGTGGAAATGGGTGTGGGGGTGGGAAGGGTGGAAATGGGTGTGTGGGGGGGAAGGGTGGAAATGGGTGTGTGGGGGGGGGAAGGGTGGAAATGGGTGTGGGGGGGGGAAGGGTGGAAATGGGTGTGGGGGTGGGAAGGGTGGAAATGGGTGTGGGGGTGGGAAGGGTGGAAATGGGTGTGTGGGGGGGGGAAGGGTGGAAATGGGTGTGTGGGGGGGGGAAGGGTGGAAATGGGTGTGGGGGTGGGAAGGGTGGAAATGGGTGTGTGTGGGGGGAAGGGTGGAAATGGGTGTGGGGGTAGGAAGGGTGGAAATGGGTGTGGGGGTGGGAAGGGTGGAAATGGGTGTGTGGGGGGGAAGGGTGGAAATGGGTGTGTGGGGGGGGGAAGGGTGGAAATGGGTGTGGGGGTGGGAAGGGTGGAAATGGGTGTGGGGGTGGGAAGGGTGGAAATGGGTGTGTGGGGGGGAAGAACGTGTAGCAATATGAGGGGAGCGGGGGCTAGGTATTAGCAGGAAAAGGAGAGCTTTATACCTGGAAAACGCATCCCATAGGCCATCAGATGCAATGATGACGAATTCGGCATCTTCTGTCAGCTCAGTGCCGTACACGTCAGGGAGCGCTGAGATCCAATCAGAATCGTACTTTCTCCTGAAAACCAGGAAGGGATGGCAAAAGCAGGCACGGGAAAAGCATGCGGGTAGGGCTGAGAAGGGGTGAGCAGGAGCGAGATAGAAGGGATGAGAAGGGATGAGAAGGGATGAGAAGCAAGGTACGAGAGGAGAAACCTATCTGGATACGTTGATGCTACTTTCGAGAAATCTCAACAGTAACATCAGTTGGGCTGAGAAGGGGTGAGCAGGTGTGAGATAGAAGGGATGAGAAGGGATGAGAAGCACGGTACGAGAAACCTATCTGTATATCAACTTGACCTTCTTCACTGGTTAATGGAGGGACAGCAGCAGCCACCAAACTCGGTTCTCCTGACCAACTACTAAAAACAGCAGCAAGCAGCGAGCAGAGAGCAGCAAGCAGCGAGCAGAGAGCAGCAAGCAGCGAGCAGAGAGCAGCAAGCAGCGAGCAGAGAGCAGCAAGCAGCGAGCAGAGAGCAGCAAGCAGCGAGCAGAGAGCAGCAAGCAGCGAGCAGAGAGCAGCAAGCAGCGAGCAGAGAGCAGCGAGCAGCGAGCAGAGAGCAGCAAGCAGCGAGCAGAGAGCAGCAAGCAGCGAGCAGAGAGCAGCAAGCAGCGAGCAGAGAGCAGCAAGCAGCGAGCAGAGAGCAGCAAGCAGCGAGCAGAGAGCAGCAAGCAGCGAGCAGAGAGCAGCAAGCAGCGAGCAGAGAGCAGCAAGCAGCGAGCAGAGAGCAGCAAGCAGCAAGAGGAGAGCAGCAAGCGGAGAGCTTCCTTGGAGACCCATCTGGTGGTCCACCTCCCCTAATTCACTGAAACGAGAATGGCTTTAAAGCAGCAAGCAAACGCAATCAGCAAGCATCAAGCAGCAAGCAGCAGCAAGCATCAAGCAGCAAGCAGCAAGAAGCAAGGAGCAAGCAGCAAGGAGCCAGCTTACTTGGAGACCCATCTGGTGGTCCACCTCCCCTTCTTCACTCCTTGTTGCATCATTCTGCACACAGAGGAGCACAGTGCGGTAAAGTGCGGTTCAGCATGGTATAAGAGTGGTTCAGTGGGAAGAGTAGGGCATTGATGTGCATACAAGTACTGTATTTGTCTTAGTTTTGTTTGTTTGTTTGTTTTGTGTGCAGTGATTGATCCAGGTAGGTGTATTGGTAAAGCTGGTTACTTCAATAATTCATAAGCGCGACTCACTCAGTCAGTGACTCACTCCTCTTTTCTCTACTGCACGACTCACTCCTCTTTTCTCTACTGCACGACTCACTCCTCTTTTCTCTACTGCACGATTCACTCCTCTTTTCTCTTCTGCACGACTCACTCCTCTTTTCTCTTCTGCACGACTCACTCCTCTTTTCTCTACTGCACGACTCACTCCTCTTTTCTCTACTGCACGACTCACTCCTCTTTTCTCTACTGCACGACTCACTCCTCTTTCTCTACTGCACGACTCACTCCTCTTTTCTCTTCTGCACGACTCACTCCTCTTTTCTCTTCTGCACGACTCACTCCTCTTTTCTCTACTGCACGACTCACTCCTCTTTTCTCTACTGCACGACTCACTCCTCTTTTCTCTTCTGCACGACTCACTCCTCTTTTCTCGTCTTGAAAGCCACGTTGCCAAACGCTCGGGACACAGCAATCACGCCACACACCCGCCCTTGGCTCACCTGCGTATGGGATGAATGATGAGGGAAGTTACAGGGACGGGTGGGGAGAACATAAAAGAGAAGGTGGAACGTATAATGAAGGAGGCCCGGAAAAGGCTCGGGACACGGCCACCACGCCACACATCCGCCCTTGGCTCACCTGCACATCGGGTGAACCAACAAGGGAGGTGGGTGGGAGGGTAAGATGGAAAGTGTTTGGGAAAAATCAAGGTAGGTTGGGGAGAAAATACGTTTGAAGCGTCTCATAATAGGATCAGAACACGCCAATCACGCCACACATCCGCACTTGGCTCACCTGCGTATGGGGCGGTGGGTGAGGAAAAGGGTGGGCATGTGGATAGGGGGAAAGATAAGGTGAATTCGGGGAGAGATAGGATGGACAGGGAGAGAGACAGGGTCGTTGGGAGGAAGATTGGGTGGATTGGGGGAGAGATAGGGTGGACATGGGAAAGATAGGATAACGTCTCAACAGTTACGCACAAGTTGACTCAGCACCCACCCACTCACCCATCCGCCGGCCTTGTTGCTCCTCTTAATCTCCTCCTGCTCCTTTTCCACTTGCTCCTTATCTCCACCTAATCGATTCACTCACCCATCCGCCTGCTCTGTTGATCTTCTTAACCTCTCCCGCACCTTCCCCCAGTTGTTGCCTTTCCAATATGCTAAAAAAAAAAAAAAAAAAAAAAAAAAAACAACGCACCCATCCGCCCGCCTTGTTGATCCTCTTAATCTCCGCCTGCGCCTTGCCCGAGTCGCCGCTGGGCTTATGGTCGTCCGAGATGTATCCCTCGTCGCCCCCCCCAACAGCCATCACGGCGCGCGAGTCGCCTATGTGCGCCACGAACAGGCGGTCGTGCCGCACGAACGCTACCGTGCCCGTTGAACCAGACTCGGGCTCAGAACTGTGCTCCTCCAGCCTGGGGTGTTGGGTTGCGAGAGGCGGGGGAATCGGCGGCGGGAGATTCGACTGAAAAGTGACACACAAACGCCTCTGTACCCGTCGACCCCGACTCAGGCTCAGAACTGTGCTCCTCCAGCCTGGGGGGGACTATGCAGGAGGGAGTGTAGGGGTGGGGAGGGAGAGGGGACACGCGCGAGGGGAGAGGAATGTAGGAGGGGAGGGAGAGAACAGAAGGAAGGGGGAAGGGGATATGTGCGAGGGGAGCAATACTCAAGTCGAGGCAAGTAAGCGAGTAATGCTCGAGGCGAGCAACAATCCAGGCAAGTAATACTCAAGTCGCGGCGAGTAATTCTCTAGGCGAGGTAAGTAATAATTGAGGCGAGTAATACTCACCACTGCAGCAGGCGCTGGTCGGCTTTAAGAAAAGCATCCTCGCGCGTTTCCGCGGCCGTCAGCTCCTCGTCCTCCAACACCGCACCGCCTTCCAGTGCCAGCACACAACAAGCACACCATACAAACGCACCCAACCAAACACACCCACCAAGCACACCCACACCACCAAGCCCTCTTACCACCGCAGCAGCCGTTGATCAGCCTTGAGAAACGCGCGTCCTCCGCAGCCGTCAGGTCCTCGTCCTCCAACACCGCACCGCCCTCCAGTGCCAGCACACAACAAGCACACCCACACCATACAAACGCACCAACAAAACGCACCCACACCACCAAGCCCCTGTAGGAGCCGTTGATCAGCCTTGAGAAACGCGTCTTCGAGCGCGTCCTCCGCAGCAGTCAGGTCCTCGTCCTCCAACACCGCGCCGCCCTCCAGCGCCTCCATAACCTCACCATACACTCAGTCAACCCCCGCCAAGCACACCCGCTCACCACTGCAGCAGCCGTTGGTCGGCTTTAAGGAAAGCATCTTCGAGCGCGTCCTCCGCGGCCGTCAGGTCCTCGTCCTCCAACACCGCGCCGCCCTCCAGTGCCTCCATGCAGTCGTCGTGCAGCTCGTCGCTCAGAAACTTCGCGGAAGACGCGCCTGCACGTGCGACAAACACGCGCTCCGAAGTCAACTCACACGCTCAAATCTTAAGTATCGGAAGCTTCCCAGAAAAGCAGAAATGAAAGGTTTGGAAACTGCACGCTCAGTATCCGTCCAACACGCTCCTGGCAGTCAAATACGCACCTGCGTGGCCGTCAAATACGCCGGCGTAGAGGAACCCAGCGCCTATGTCTTCCAGAACCACCACGTGGTCCTCCATCTCGTCGACTCAGTAGATACCTGGATGGCCGTCAAAACGCACCGGGTGGCCATCAAATGCGCACCGGGTGGCCGTCAAATACACACCTGCGTGGCCGTCAAATACGCCGGCGTAGAGGAACCCAGCGCCTATGTCCTCCAGAACCACCACGTGGTCCTCCATCTCGTCGCGCCGCCCCTGCGCCGCGTGGCACCCCACCTTCAGGCGGCGGCGCGGCGTCCCTTCCGTTCCTGACGCCGCGACTGACGGCGCGTCCTCCGCTGTGGGTGCTGCGGCAGCAGCCGTGACGGGAGTCGCTGCAGCAGAAGGAGGTGCGACTCGTCGAGGGCCCTTAGCTGAAGCGCATGATGCGGAGAGATTCAAGTTCAGGTTGAAGAAACTCGACTCGTCGCGGACGAGGGAGGAGGCTGATGATTTGAGTGGTACAACTGGAGCGGGAGTGAGCCTGAGGGAGGAGATAAGCGAGCGAACCGCCGCCATGGTTGCCGTAAGAGGTTCTTTCGAAGTTGCGGACTTGCAATTGTAGGATTGGTGAACAAGTGGATGCCCAGCCCAACAATCACTGAATTCAGCAATGCTACGCAAAACGATGTGTCCTACTATGCACGAAGCAGAAAGCAATGAGCTCGGTACGTCTTCTCCAGTGGAGGACCTATGCTTCGTATAGTACGACGACAAACCTTCTTTAGCCAAACTCCGAGACGTATATACGAACGGACAACCTATGAACGACCTTCAGGTACGTACGTCCTCTTCTTCTCCGCGTTATCGTAATTTATGGAGGTCCTACCTCAGACTTCCTTGCTTCCACTGACCAATCACAGTATTTCTGACAGAATCAGTCTGCCGTGAATTACCCGTTGATGATTTCCTACCTCTTATTCTGAATGCGGCCTTTTGATTGAAATCGCTTGTCCCAAACAACCAATCTCGGAGGAGGCGCGGTGCCACGTCACAATGCCTCGGCATGCTCGATGGTGGTCCACGAGGTTGACATCCACCCTACGATTGGGTCAACCACGTGGAACGTGTGGCGAGCAACGTCGATTCGCTCAACATGCCTGGCGAAAAGGTATGGAATCGGCTCGGGAGGAATCGATCAAGGATTTCACAAAGCTCGCTGTAGTTTGTGGAGCCAGCGTGGCAAGCTTTTCATTTGTCGGTCTTCTTCGGGCCAACATCACTGGCATGCAACATAGTATGGTAACCCTATGCAATTGTATGCAAAACCGTCGATACCTCGGTTTTGAAGTTATTTAGATATTGCGCTAGTATTTAGGCTCTTTTGAATGGACACACTGATTTTTAACGCGCTTATCTTTCCGCTAAAGTTCTATTTATTCGGACAACTGTTCTGCCATATGAGCAACACTGTTCACTTCTTTTGACAGAAAAAAAATAAAACCCAATCGGAAAGGGATGCACTCGGGGAGGCATCAACCCTAAAAACAATGCCCTTTCCCGTTTTTAGGGTTGATCCCTCCCTGAAATAAGTCCAGGTCCCTAGGGGTTTATTTTTTTCCTGCCTGCACTAGCAGTAGTCGGTAGCAGTATATTGGGTGGAATATATTGTTACGAAAAAGACCCCGTTAACTTCCATTCTAACGGATTTTCCTGTTAAAATTATCGTGCAAAATAGTTGTCTGCAGGAATATTTGTCAGGCGCCGAACGGAGCGCGTTAAAAAACTAATGAAACGAAATCGAAAACGCATTCGGTTGTTGCACCCATTGCACCCTTTTTGTGCTGCGTCAGCTGTTACACAGTGTTTTGAGTGGCGCTACCGGACAAATTTGCGAAGCAGAACTGGGGTATCGACGGTTTTGCATACCATCGAATAGGGTTACCAGACTAATTTGCATGTCTATGATGTTGGCCCGTCTTCTTCACCAATCCACTGCCTTACGAAAGTAGGGCTCGCTTGCTGTCATCATGGCTAATTATCACGACCACACCCACCTCCCTGTTTGAGCAACTGCGCTACGCTGCGCTATGAAATCGGAACCAAAAAAGGATAGAAAGCACTAACATACATACATGCAACCTTATTGCATTATTCTCCACCTTCCTGTTCCATCCCCCTCTAGCACAAGCTCAGCATGGTGCCACCTCCGCAGAGATTCTCTTCTATGGCTAACACTAACAATAGCAACCCCCGCCATAGCAAGCCAGGCATACATACGCGCCTCCATCTCGCCATCCACAGCACTCGTAGCCTCATCCAGGAAAACCAACCTCGGGCGATGAAACACCACTCTTGCAAACTGAAGCCGCTGCTGCTCCCCTGGAGAAAGTCCCGCAACCCAACTTCGAGCGTTGCCTGACCATTCTGGAGACGGCCTGATGTTGGGACAACCTTGCTGCTGACAGTGCCTCTCATTGCCAAAACGATCCTCAGATTTCACCAGTCCATCTGGACAGATGGTCTCCAGAAATGGTAACAGGTGCGTCAAGCCCACCACAGCAAGAGCAGCCTCCATCCTAGTCCTTACGCCGCCATCCCTCCTCCTGCCTCTACACACACCCTCGGGAATACCCCCAAGTTCCATAGGGTACATGACTTGAGCAGCAAGGCAGGGGGAGGGAGCAAGAAGGGGCTTCTGGGGAAGGAACATGACATTGGGGGAAGCAGCAGGGGGGTATAACGTCACGGGGGGAAGGAGGGCTGCAGCAGATGAAATTACGCTGCTGCGGCTGCTGCTGCTGACGTGGCGGCTGCTGGTTGGCCAGAGTCCAGCGATGGCGCGCAGGAGGCTGGTTTTGCCACACCCGCTGGGACCGGTGACCAGTAGGGCCTTGCCACGTGGCAGATGGAGAGAGAGGTTCGCGACAATGAGGTGGTTTGTTTGGGGGAGAGTGAGAGTGAGACGGGAGAGGGAGAGTGCAGGAGGGAAGGAGGAGGGGGAACAGGTGTGGCATGGTGGGTGCACCTCAAGTTCAGGTCCAGGTTCAGGCTTAAAAGCAGGCAGACGTTCAGGTTCAGGTGCCACCAATGCTTCCTCACACCCTCCCTCCGCTCCCTTCCCCGCTGCTGTCACACCTCCCATCTTCCCATCCCCCGTCCCCTGTCCCACCACCACGACCCCTTCCTCCTCCTGCCAGCCTGGCAGGCGCCAACCAGAGCCTGCCACGTGGCGGATGGCAGATTGCAGGAGAGGGAGAGGGGCGGTGGTGAGGAGGGAGGCTGGGTAGGTGTGCGTGCCAAATGAAGGGTGGAGAACTAGGGGGCATGACGGCATTGGTGGTGGTCCTGGTACTGCTGGTGTTGCTGGTTCTGCTGCTCCTGCTGCTGCTGCTGCCGCCGCAGCATTAGGAAACACTGTGGAGCCCATTGAAGCTGCTGCTGCTTCACTGGCCGTGGCAGTGGGAGCAACAGGATAACCGAGGAGGATCTGGGCAACGTCCACCTCGTTGTACTTGATGGGGGAGGGGAACGGCCACGTGCAGCCAGCACCGATACCAGTACTGACAAACTCAGCGCCACCACTGCTGCCAGCAGCACCAAATTCGGCACTAACACTGCTGCCACCACCACCGGCACTACGACCAGCGCTGCTGCCACTGCTGCCAGAAGCAGAGTGCATGAGGTAGCCAGTGAGGGGGTCAACAGCGTCAGCCCAGTGACCGGCCGCCCAGATGTGCTCACAGAGCTGCTGCTGGAAGAGGCGGAAGTTGAAGAGCAGCCGGTTCATTGCCCTGCTGACGTCTGCCTGCGTTGCTGTGGCGGAGTCTGCTGGACTCATGCCTGCATGTGCTGAGGCGCCATCTGCATTTGCAACTTCTGATACAGCAGCAGCCGCAGCAGCAGAAGCACCAGCAGCAGAGGAGGATGAATTGTTGTGGATAGGCCAGAGTGGCACATCGCTGCACTGAAATGTCACCACTATCTTCACATCCTCTACTCTCACCTCCCCCCTCTTCACACCTTCCAACCCCCCATACTCTACTCTCACCTCCTCCGTTCTCACATCTTCCATCCTCACCTTCTCGATTTCCGCTCCTTCCATCCCCACATCCTCTACTATCACATCCTCCACACTCATGCTCCATGCCTCGCCCACACGTGCAGCTGCCCACCTCATCTCCGTCTTCCCCCATCCGTCTCCGGATTGTGGCAGCAGGGTCCCTACCAGGGAGCGTAGATCGGGCGGGACAGAGTGAATGGAGTACTGCAGGATCCTGTCAGCTTCGCCGGCTGCTTCCTCGTCAGCTCTCGTGCCGTTGCTTCCTGGTCTCGGCACCATCAGTCAAGTCGGCTCCTGCAGCATAAAGTCCCTTGGCTCCACAAATTCGCCACCACACGGTGTGATCCGCGTGTCCTCACAACGGCCCTCACGCACCGATTCGCCAGCCCCTCTCCACGTGCTTAGCGCTGAGATGGCACGCCTCGACGTCCTCCCCGCGTGAGAAAAGGATGTCCTCGGATCGCTCCTTAACTCTGACATGCGCCATACGGAACTCAGCTTCCCGCCTTTCCTGCTCGGCTACTAGCGCCGCGACTGGAGACATGACGCAGCGCGTTATGACCGCACCGACTGTGAAGAATAGGAGGATGATCAGGAGGCCCGTGGGACCGATTAAAGACACGACCCAGCAGCTGTAGTACAGCACGGTAAGCGGCGCGGTTACCGTTCTACTTAGCAGTAATGAGACCTGCTCCGCGAATCGGTGAATGTCCTCCGTGATCCTTTGATCGGGGTTGTCTATAACGGGTACAGAAGGGTCCTTTGCATTAGTAGCGGCATTATGGACAGAGGAGGTGCCGCATTTCTCGAGATGCGCGAAGTACAGCCAGCTGCTTCGCCTGTACGCCACGTGGCAGGCGGACGTCAGCGTCTTCCGCCATTTCAGGCAAAGGAACTGCGCGGACCAATCAGTGAGGGCCGTGGAAACAGCGGCCAGGGTCAACCAGATCGCGGAATTCCCGAGGGTCTTGAGGAAAGCATCCGGGCTGGCATTGACGAGGGCGAAATAGAACGTTCCTGTAACGGTGCCCATTTTCGCAACAATGGGAATGTTTGCGAGCGCGAGGAGTAACAGGATGATGGCGTACTTCGCACCAGCGAGTCGCAGAAGGGCCAGCAAGCGTCGCAAGAAACGGAGATCCACTCGTGCGGAAGACGCGCGATCGTAGCCGTTGACTGGTAACGGCTGATCGTCGGTGCCGATGGTCTGCGACTCCTCGGTGAAGAAACAGCATCGCGAAGCCTGTGATTCCTGACCCATCGAACGGTCCAGATTGATTCGGGAAACCACTAAACCCAGCCATGCCTTCGAACAATCAGAAGCCAACGCAGGAAAAACATCACAGATGGTCATAGGTCCTTCATTAATGGCGTCGTTGAGAAACCGCGGGCCTCTAATTCCGGACATGGTTCTCAGACCGACTAGTTCGTCACAAGGTCATGGTAATCTGGATACCCTCGCACTCGCATCAACGGCTCACGGAGCTTGCCGATCAGCACAAGCAATCGCTGCTTGCAGTCCTCAACAACCAAGAGGCACAATTCGCATCTACCTCATTCCGCAGGTTCTCCTCTTGAGGTGGCTAACTCAAGACCAAGGTGAGCTGGTTCTCACTAATGGTGGAGCAAGCTAAGTACGGTAGCGTCTTTTCTCCCAAGACTTGGATTGACCTTTTAGACTAGTAGCTTCTCCGTTCTATTCTTGAGAACTGGTTGTGGGCAAGATAAAAAGCCGCACTGCAACCCCGCTTAGATCCTTTGAAACCTGCAGAACCGACTCTCATCCCGAACAAAACCATCCCAAGGATGGCGATGCTGCAAAACCTGTCCTCGAATTTTGTCCTCTGCTTTGTGGCCTGTGCTGAGTTCAAATTGCTGTTTGATCGGGAGGATGTTCGGCTGGAGCCGTTGGATGAGCTCAGAATCAATCACTGTCGAAGCTGCTCCGTGATCCTGGGCGCTATTGACGTTCCACAACAACACCGTGGCGTGAAGTGATCCGTTTGATATAAATCTCTACAGAGGTAGAGTGTACGTACAAAACCACGGGTGGCATGTACGTATATACAACCATTTTTCAAAGTAGGTGAGCCAACTCAATCTAGTAAATGGGCAAACCACTTCCCAACAAATCATACACTATAATCACCATCAAGACCTAAACCATCCATCCTTCACTTCCTTCTCCTTTCCCTTCCCCCTCCTCCCCCTCCCTTGTCCCTTCCTACTTTCACCTTCCACCAACGCATGCCTAAAGTCGAACACCCGAACATCAGCGTTGGCAGCACCACACACCACCCTCTCATCCTTTATATCCACGCACATTACCGATGAACTCAACCCCCCTAATCTCCTCGCAACGGTCCCTTCCACAATCTCGCCGATTTCCCCATTCGCCCCTATAGCCCATGCTGACCCCCACTTACTGATACCATTCCCTGAGCCCCACTTGCTATCCCCTCCCCCTCCACCCCCTCTTTTCCACCATCCCCCACTCCCAACCCCGAATCCTGCCATCCCCCCTCCTTTCCTCTTGTCCTCACCTATTCCATTTCTCCCCAGCCGATCCCCTTTATAAGCCCATCCGCTGCCTTTACAGCGACCTGCTACTGCAGCAGCCGCTCTAATGTCCATAAGAGCACAAGAGCCGTCAGTAGAAGCCGAAACAAGCCATGGGTCCTCAAAGGCAAGACAATTCACGTCATTGCTGTGTGCATGCCACTCTGCCACTGCGTCCCATACACCTCCCTCTCCTCCCTGCCCTCCTCCTCTCCCTGCTTTACCTGCTTTTCCTCCTCTTCCTCCTACTCTCTGATCAAACATCCTCACCACCCCATCCTCCCCTCCAGAAAAGACAAACCGGCCGCACAGGCTTGCTTGAACGGCAAGCGCCTTCCCCTGGTGCGCTGCCACGTGTCGCTTCAGCAGCGCTCCGGTCTCCACGTCCCAGCAGTACACGTCAGCACCAGCAGTGGAGAAGAGGCGGGGAGGGGAGGAGAGCGAGGGGGAGAAGCAGGGTTGCAGCGAGTACACCCAGTCAGCATGGCGAAAGGAAGAGATGGTTGGAAAGGAAGTGGAAAAGGAGGAGGAGGATGAAGAGGAGGAGCAGGAGGTAGAGAGGGAAGACGAAAGGTCCCAGCAACGAATGGTCGAATCCCACGACCCCGAGAAGAGGAGACGGCGGGACGAGACAGGCGAGGAGGACGAAGCGGAATCGGCAGAGAATGCTGGGAATGGGGAAGAGGAGGAGGAGCGGGGAATTTGCCACCTGTTTGAACCTGGAGCATGGTACCCCCCTTCCAGAGCCAGACAGGTAATAGGACCCATGTGTCCATGCAGCAGGACCGGAACCGAGGGCAGGTGTGACGGAGCAGCAGGGGGATGCGGTGGAGGAGGAGAGGGAAACGACGGAGACGGAGAAGGAGGACGAGCATGAGAAGGCACATCGGCAGCAGGGGGTGCAGCAGCTTCTTTTGAATCTAGTGGCCCGTTCCTGACAGAGTGAGCAAGCTGGGCGGCAAGGGTCTTAGCTGCTTGGGTGTGGCTCCACATGCCAGACACGTCAAACAGATACGGACAATCGTTTGCCGCCCGCCAGATCCGGATCACCGCGTCCGTGCCGCCCACTGCCAGAAAGTCCAGCCCTGCCGCCACCGCCCGTACCGTCTCGCCAAGTGGCGGCGACGTGGCGATGGGGATCCCACCGCTGTAACTGTAACTGTTGCTGATGTTGTTGAAACTACCAGAGTAATTATGGATGGAGGAGTGGGGAGTGGTACTGGGGTGGTAACCAGTGCTGCTCCAATCATCCAGCGACCAGATTCGAATGGTCGAGTCATAACCAGCAGTAATGGCCAGAGAAAATGGTGGGTTCAGCGGTGGCTCGAGCAGAGAACGAGGATAGGAGTGTGAGAAGGGTTGAGAGGGAGGGCGAGAGGGGGAGTAAGAGGGGGTGAAGCGGAAGGGCGGTCGGGTGAGCATCCTGACAGCACGCACGCCGGAGGTGTGGCCTGCAAGGAAATCGCTCTGGAACCTTCCGAGATACGCCATGGACCGCCTCTGGCGCTGCAGGTACATCTCCCTCCAATTCACCCCACCTGCACCCATGCTACCACCATCGGTACCCCTCTCTCTCGTTTCCCTTCTGTCGTTCTCCTCCGCTCCCACTGGTCCTAATTTTCCATGTCTTGGCGCGCTGACAGCGGGTAATGCGCCTGAGGTTGTCGCGTAACTGCTACTCTCCCCTCTTGTGCTTGGTTCGCTTGAACTTCTCAATCCTCGTCTTCCCTCTTCCTCTTTTCCTCCTCCGTCTCGTCCCTTTTTCCTTCCACCGCTTTGCACTCCTCCCTCCCTTCCTCCCTCCACTCTCCCACCACCTAGACCAATCACAGGTGGAGCCCATCGCTCGCAGTAGAACCGCATCCAACCGCACGATTCTCCCGCCAGGCGATGCAGCAGGCGGCAGCAGCAGGACAACGACGCCAGATCGTGGACGTCCAAATGCCGGAGCACCTCCAGGATCAACGGATGGGGTAAATCCAGAAAACTCATGCTTTGATCAGGGTAATGCGGTTCACCAGCGAAACTCCCCACTGATTGGCCCAGAGTCTCCAGGCTACGAGTCGCCTCGACGCCTCGCCGAATTTCCAGGCTTCCTGATTGGCTCGGCCGTTCCATGCCACCACCTCTCTCCTCTATACCAACCAGTCTTGTTTCCGTTTCAACCCGCTCCTTAATTCCCCCTTGCGAGGCTAGGTTCCGATCAAGCACGGTCGGACCAGGATCGCCTAAAGCTGCTTCGGTTTGGCCTACAACTGGATAAGGTTCGTGTGAATCGTCGAACCAGGCCGCGTCAGCAGCGCCAGGTGGATGGCTGTGATAGTTCTGATGCGGATCTGGCAGTGCGGCGTCGCATGTGGAGGATGAACTCGCTCCCGATGACGTGGCAAGCGGCGATGCCGCGGATACGAACATAATGGCTGAGAAGCAGCGGTTCAGGACAGGACAGTCATAAGAAATGAAGGAGCCTATTAACGGGCTCGCATAAACAGGTCTAGATCCTGCCTGCTTCAGCAATGTCCTAGTTCCAGGTGTGCTTCTATAAGTTGGACCTTAGGAGGTTGATTAGTCACCACTCCGTACCTGTTAGTAGCTCTATGTCTCCTGTATTTGTGTGGCATGGTCTATATACAGTTGAGAGGTGCTTTATAACTATACTTACCTATTGTACTCGAGTGAACCAAACTGAAAGATGGATTCTTCGTTCCCGTTCGTATGTG